AGTAGTAGTAGTAGTAGTAATTAGGAGGAGTAGTAGTAGCAGAAGAAGAAGGAGTAGTAGTAGTAGCAGTAGCAGTAGCAGCAGCAGTAGTAGTAGTGGTGGTGGTGGTGGTGGTGGTGGTGGTGGTGGTGGTGGTAGTAGTAGTAGTAGTAATCATAGTAATGATAGTAGTGCAGCAGCAGCAGCAGGACGTGGTCATAATGATGGTAGTCATCGTGGTAGTCATACTAGTGAATCGAAATGGCAGGAACAAGACTACCGGTCTTAATCAGAGCGATCATCATCGTACCAAGTCTTCCTCTTCGTCCCCACTGCCAGTACGACACGCCTCAGGTGGATGCGGCAGAGAGATCTGCAGCAAGCACTCCTTAGAGGGGCGTCCATCAATGACACTGCCTTTGCCACTTTGGTGCAGGCGAGCTGCACACAATATATATATATACACATATATATATATATGGATATGTATGGGTCCTTACATGAGTATGTGCTGAACCGGAAGGCTTTGAATGACTGCCCTTCGTTGCAGACACTGGACTTGTGCGGATCCCAGCTTCTTCGCGTCGCAGGTCCTGAGATGGTCCCGGCAACTGCTAGAGGAAAAAGATGCCTGCCCTAAGCCCTTCTCGCTAAACCCTAACCCCCAAACCCTAGACCCTTAACCCTAAACCCTAAACCCCCAAATCTTAAAGCCTAAACCCTAAACCCTCCGAATCCTAAACACCGCTTGCAGGTCACAGAATCTACTGACCATGGACTCCTGTTCGGACTTGTGCCAGCTTATCACCACAGCTCCCAGGCAGTCGTTGCCGGTTTTGGGGGCCCTAAACCCTTATAAACCCTAAACCCTAACATTGTTAGGGTTTAGGGTTGAGGGTTGACTTCCCTAACATTGTTAGGGTTTAGGGTTGAGGGTTGACTTTGAGAGAACAAGACCAGCTGCGAGACGAAAGCCGACGAAAGCTTCTCTAATGTAGGGACTTTAGTAATTACCTAAACTAGTTTGGGGGTTCCTTACTTACTATACTAATAGTACCATGACCTTAATAATTACCAATACTATTTTGGGGGTGGGCTCCCTACTGTAATAATCGTACAGTATACCCCAAAACCCTATTCTAAGCATTAAGGCCCCCTGCATTAGCTGCTGCAAGTCGCTTTCGGCAGTCTCTCCTTCATCTCGCTGGCGGAGAACTTGTTCTCGCTGCGATCAGTTGGCTACTTCATGCCCCGGGCTGCGAGAAAAAGGGGCACATGGGATTAGGGTTTTGATGGGTTTGGATGACAGGTGCTTCCGGTTTAGGGCCAGGGTTCGGGGATTAGGGGTTAGGGTTTACGGGTCTGGGGGTTTAGGATTTGGGAGTTAGGGGGTTTAGGGTTTTAAGGCTTCCATGACAGCAGTGTCCTTGGCATCGAGTCCTGTGGCTGTTGTCCAGCCTTCATGCATGGCCATTGGCCTTCTTAGGCCGGTCGAGCATGTAGCTCCTTTGGCAAGTGCACTGCTTTTGTATTCTTGTTATCGTCGTTGTTGCTTTCTACTACGATCATGATGACCATGATTGTAGCAACTAGCATTCGTCTTTTGATCGGTAGTGTTGCTCATTGTTATTGTTCTAGAATCCTACCCTGTGCTTCAGCTATTTACTGCTATTTTTCGGGTAGACGCATCATCAGAGAAAACACCTGACTCTCATGAACCGAGCAAAGAATGGACTATCTTTGTTGGGTGTTTGTGGGAGGCCTCTGATTTTCTCTGTATTTGTTGAGCATATTGCGAGCTTAACTTTAACTTCACATGGCCGTGGAACGTATCATCTCACGAGCCAGAGGAACATAAACCATTAGATTCAAGAGTTTATTGAGCCCGTATAAGGACGGGTGCTTCGCTGCCCCAAAGACCCAAACCCTCATAATTGGGCTCCTGCTCAGGAATTTAGCATAAGTTGTCATAACTTACTGGTGGTGGAGTACATTGTTCTTGGCATGAATAGCATGCTTTCCTTCCGTCGTAGCAGTCCCCTAAACCCTAAAACCCTAAAACCCTAAAACCCTAAACCCTAAACCTTAAAGCCTAAAACCCTAAAACCCTAAAGATCACCAAAACCCTGAAACCCTAAAACCCTAAAAACCCTAAAAACCCTAAAGCCCTAAACCCTAAGCCCGGACAAGGACTGCTGTGATGGAGCGACAGAACACGAAGAAGCTGATGCCCTTGGACCTCCTCGACCTGCAGGGCAACGAGGCTCGGAAGAGGAATCCGCTGCTGGGGTTTTTAGAGTTGAGTTTAGGTTTCAGGGTTTAGGGCTTAGAGCTTAGGTTTTAGGGTTTAGGGTTTAGAGTTTAGAGTTGTAGGGCTTAGAGTATAGGGTTTAAAGTCTAGGGTTTAGGGTTTAGGGTGTCCTTGTCATTCTTGGTATGTTTTTTGAAGGTACGATGCACGCTTTTGGTCTGGGGCTAGCTTTAGGCTATAGTTGATCTGTGGTCTATCTTGGTACACTGCTCTGATTCTACGCTGAGTTTTCCATGCTACATATGCTTATGCTTATACACATGAGTGCAGTTATGTACATATGCACACACGCTCACACATGAGCATCTATGTTCATGCAAGCACATAACT